TAAATATCGGCCTTAATTGAGTTAGGATTTTCTGGAATCAAAACCCTAGTGTTATCTGGTTTCGATAACCGGGTATTTTTCCGGATCCGATTATAAATGTCTGAACCCTAGTACCGTCTAGATAATCTTTAATCGTCGTATCGTAATTCGTAATGCGTATCATCGTCTCGTGCCCGTGATCGCCTCTCGTCCGACCGTTGGAGCTGAGCCGCCGAGTGCGTGCCCGTGCACCGAGTCCGAGTCAAACCCCCCGAGTGCGTGCCCGTGCACCGAGTCCATCCGACCTGCCGTCTACGCGTCGTTCTGTTAGCCGTGGTCCAGGCACGCTCCTGCGTCAGTGACCGTGGAACTGTTCAAACTCGTGCATCGGCTAAGCCGTGTCAGTCGAGTTCGTGCCGGCCCGAGTCGCCACGCCGAACTCGGACCACGGTCAAACCGAGCTGCACATAGTCAAGCGAATGACCGACCGACTCCGAGTGAGCCGTCGGTCCAGTTCAGTCGAATCGGTCCGGTCAGTCCAGACTGTTCGAAATATATTTCAGATAGAATGTCAGATAAATTTCAGATGCAGTCAGATTAATATTTCAGATAAAGTTAAGAATTTCAGATAGATTTAGGATTCAGATATAGTTAAGATTTCAGTCAGATTCGATTAAGTCAGATCCTAGTCCCAGACTTAGAAATATTTCAGAGAACTCTAGAATGCCTCAAAGACGATAATATTTTCAAAATCAGCTCGTAAATCCCTAAAATGATTTTTAAAGCCGAGTGAGCGAACCTAGATATATAAGATATTAAAGATTTGAGTTTTATTCTGAGCCTAGTACTTAGAATATTTCGCTCAATATATTTTGTAGCTTGAGGAGAGTCGAGCCTCCATCAACTACTCATTTCAGATATTTCAGCCTTTGCTTTCGCCAGTTTCCAGGTGGGGACCACGTACTGTGTATTTCATCGCTTTTAATAATTTACCATGTCTGAGATCTATATGCGATTAAATTGAAGGACTGAGACGGATGAGTAATCCCGTCTTGGTCAATATTTCAGTATTTCAGTTATGACTTGGACGTGAGTGATTAAGGCCCGTCCTAAGTCTAGCGTCCAGATGGGGTGATTAGTGCCTTTCCTGGATTTCTGTGGGAGGGGACCCCCAGAGTGTGCACATGAGTACCGGTTTACCGTTAGTCCCATAGTCAGACCAGTTTTCTCATATATATATTTTGATTTCATAGTTTGTTATTAATTGTGCTGAGTATTCAATGTCGGTTCCGGCGGAGCACCGTTGATTCCTTTGTGCTCACGCCTCCCCACTACGCTCTTTTTCAGGTGACGGAGTCCCGCGTGCAGCGTGAGCCGGATATGTGGTGGTGGTCATCAGCCAGGACATTTTGATATGACATGTCATATAGTTATTCGAACATGTCTAAACATCATTTGTCATCGCATTTACTTATGTTTTGTGTGTGCTTTCCGAACTATTTCTGCTTCCGCATATTAGACTTGTGTTTCAGATGTCAGATTTCAGTCTAGTACTTCAAATTTCAGATAATGTCAGATTTTCAGAATATGCATGATTTATCCGGTATTATTCATGGCCTTAATTCTAGAATAAATTTACTTGGTCGCATGTATGATAGATTAAAGAGATAAAGATATAAGATTAAAGTTGAGTAGCATCCCGCGTTTTAAAGTTAAAGTATTTTCGAAAAAATAATATGAATTTTCGAAAATTAAATAAGTGCTTTCCATTTATAGCGCGAAAAATTTACTCTGATTTTAGTAAGTCTAGGCGGGGTGTTACAATGTAATACCCAAGCTGGGTCCCCACCTTTCTTCTCGAAAATTGTTTGAAAATCTTAAGTGTTGTTCTGGTAGCTGACTCCTCAAGCTACATAAAAATATAAGCAAATAAATACTAATTACTATGCTCTTAATATTCTCAATAAGTGCTTGACTTGTAACTTCTCTGGATTTAAAATAACCGGTTCTATTTGGCTAACTCTTCCCAGAAAAATACTAAATAAACTTATAGAGCTTCAACTCGACATACATGTGGTCTTGATGTTATATATGACTGATTTCTCATCAAAAAATTCTAAAATTTGACATGCATGCTCTCAACATATATAAACATGTCATAAAAATTTCATAATTTTATCATGCATAGATCTCAACTTATGTCCTTTCAAAGTCACTGCTGGAACATGCACATAAAATTCAGCTTGCACGATAAACTTTAAAAATCTATAACTCGAGCTATACTTAACCAAAAGACATAATTCTTGTTCCAATGTACTCAATATTTACACAAGAAATAGTTATTAATTTTAATATACCAGGTTATACATAGCATGCTTAATTTGAAATCAAACAACACATAACAATCATGCATACGATCTAACATAACTTCTTACTTCATGGCATGATTATAAATACTTAAATGCTAGAACTGTAGCATATTTTAACACATATTAAGGCACTTTAAATTATCTATAAAGCATTCTAAAAGAATGACTTATTACCTTCTTCTTCTTGCTTGAAACTAAAATTTGAACTTGAAAATTAGTTCTTCACCTCTCCAAAATTCCACAACTTATTTATCTCTAATGAGTTATATAACTTTTGAAACTTTTCATTGATGAAAATAATCTGATTTAAGGCCTCTATTTATAGCCACAAAAGAGGGGACAAGATGATTGGGTGAAGAAATAAACAAAATAAACAAACAAAACTTGTAAAAATAAATAAAGATATTAAATGGTAATCTTAACTTATAAACTTAACCAAGCTATAGTCAATGCTTAAAAAAGGCCCCATAATGTGATCCCAATCTGATTGACATTAAAAAAGTCGTGAAATATGGAAAAATCTTGAATTTACGGAACCGAATTCGGACTTAAAACGAACAGTTACCGTAAAATCAAAAATTCTAATAATTTCAGATTTCCTTCTTTTGCTTTTGGAATTTTTTTACTTTTAATGCTAAAAAAAACTTTTCTTATCTTGTAATCTACTAAAAATATAGAGAGGAAATAATTTAATTTATTTTCTGGAAGTAAAATCGGACTTAAATTCCGACTACAATCGAAAACCGGAAAACCCGAAAATTTTAAAACCTCCACATTTCTCTCTAATAATTTAAATAGACTAAAATGTCTAAATAAATTACTTTACTCAAATAATTAAATTAGACACTCATATCAAATTAATCATAAACAAGTCGAAATAATTAATCCCTACTAATAAAATCCATTTCTAAAAATAAACGGACCGGAATTAATTAATGAACTGGCTCGATTACTAAATAAAATTTAACCAAGAATACTTTCACTTAAATTCAAACTTATAACTTATAACTTAATAACTGGACTCGCTACTAGAAACGAGCATTATTAATAAAAGTAAATATTTCAAATCTCAGAACTAAAATAATTACTTTTATTAATAACTGAGTGGGATATTACAATCTATCCCCCTTAAATTATTTCCGTCCTCGAAAATACTGAAATAAAGAAAACTGAAATACATACTTACTGACAACATCAAAACTCGAAATCTGGAAATCGAGCTCTAATATCACCTTCTCGCTCCCAAGTGGCATATGATTCTCTGTGGCAATTCCATTTGATACAAACGAGGGGAACATATCGCTTCCTGAGCCTATGAACCTTTCGGTCCAAAACCGCTACCGGCTGCTCCTCGTAAGTCAAATCTGGCAGAATTTGAATCTCATTGTGGTGAAGCACATGATCTGGATCGCACACATAAGCACGTAACATAGATACGTAAAATACATTATGCACACTTGCCAACTCAGGAGGTAAAGCTAATCGATAAGATACTTCTCCGACCCGTTCAAGAATTTCGAACGGACCAATATAACGAGGATGCAACTTTTCTTTCTTCCCGAAACGAACGACACCTCGCATTGGTCGAACTTTCAGGAAGACTTTATTTCCTACCTCAAAATGCATTTCTCGTCTATGTTTATCGGCTGAAGACTTTTGCCGACTCTGAGCGGTCTTGAGCCTTTCTCGAATCCAGGCTACTTGCTCGACTGTCTCCTCGATCATCTTTGGACCAAGTACTCTTCTCTCTCTAACATCGTCCCAATAAAGGGCCGAACGACACTTACGGCCATAAAGTGCTTTGTAGGGAGCCATCTTGATAGATGCATGATAACTGTTATTATAAGCAAACTCGACTAATGGCAACCACTTCTCCCACTTGGCACCTCTGTCCAAAATACAGGCTCTGAGCATATCCTCGAGAGTCTGGATCGTCCTTTCAGACTGGCCATCTGTCTCTGGATGAGAAGTCGAACTGAAACTTAGCTGCGTGCCCATTGCCTCATGCAAACTCTCCCAAAATCTACTGGTGAATCTGGGATCTCGATCAAATATGATTGTAACTGGCACTCCGTGGAGTTGAATAATTCCACGGGTATATATTTCAGCTAACTTATCCATCGACATGGTCATTGTCACAAGCATAAAACGTGCGACTTTCGTCAATCTGTCCACTACTACCCAAATCGCATCATGTTGTTCTGATGACTTAGGTAGCCCTGTAACAAAATCCATGGTAACTTCTTCCCATTTCCACTTAGGTATCTCAATTGGCTGCAACAAACCTAATGGACTCCTATGCTCAGCCTTAACTTGCTGACAGACCAAACACTTCTTCACAAAGTCTGCTACATCTCTTTTCATCCCCTTCCACCAAAACGACTTTTTCAAGTCACATTTTGGTGATTCCGGGGTGAGCTAAATATGGTGCACTGTGTGCTTCTGTCAAGATCTCCTTTCGCAAGGCCTCGACTTTCGGCACAACAATCCTGCCTCTGGATTTTAAGGCCCCATCGGTACCTCGGTAAAAACC